AGAGAAGTAGATAAATAAACTTACTGTGCGTGCTGTTGGAGAAAGTGATCCATTGGGAAGGTAGGGGCTTGTGAGATCGGGGATCATTATAAATGGATAGCCCGGGTACGGTGGGCTCTTGAACAGCCCTCCATCTTGCCTTTTCGCAGCTAACATGGCGGGGGGGAGAAGGAAAAAAACTTTTTATAAAGTGGCCTTGAGAAGCTTGTTTTTTCTAGTAAAATGCATTTGAGGAATAGAGCAGTGGGGGGGGAATCCCCTCCGTGAGACACATGTAATGTCATGCTGCAGAAAGCATTCATATAAATCTGAATAACAGCAGAGTGGAAGAACGAAGCAGGCACTCACCCTCCTCTAAACTTTCTCTTGTTTTGTCTCTGAAAGTTTCAGATCTAGGCGGAGGCCGTCTTTCCGCCTTCAAATGCAATGAAACACAAGGATTGCGTTAAAGTGCACAACATTGACAATTGCAGGCCTCTGAGTTAAGTTATATTTTAAAAGCGCCGGTGGGGACGGGTGGTGTGCTGTGTGTTTTTCTCGTTTAATTTAAACATGCAACTTACCTCCGAGTCCGACGAGCTGTTCTGATTTGTTTCCGACTCATTAACAAGAGACGATTTGACATCTGCTAAATCCCTTTCTGCCGAGGAGTTCTCCGAAATTTTCTCTTCCTGCTCCCCTTCGTCTTTGAAGGCAATCATTTCATCGTTTGCACCCAGATCGTCCCCTCCACCGCCGTTGAGCTGCGGCATTTTCCCCAGCAAAAATGTTTGTTTGTGGAAGGGAAGGAAGAGCAAGAGAAAAAAAAAATAATAAAAACTTTAAAAAGTTTGCACGACACCCTTGATCTCGGGTGACCGAGAAAGTCCGAGTAGGAGTTTGTGGGGTCTGCGCTGGCGTTTTCCAAAGCTGTGGCGGTGCGTAGAAAAGTAGAAAAGAAGGGAATCTTGGCAGAAAAAGGAAGCCGGAGAAAGAGCCGAGCCGCTCGGATTGAGTGAGTTGAAGTTGGTCGGAGTGGTTTTCAGTTCAAAGGCGGCGCTGATTGACAGATAGAGAGGGATGGAAATAGAGAGAGTCTGGATTCAGGATTATTGACAGGGAGAAACACACAAGAAACTAATGAGATTCAAACAGGGAGGGACTTGAAGTGACGTTTTCATAAATAGGAGGAAAAAAAACAGGGAGAGAGAGAAGGGAGAGAGAGAGAGGAGGGGGACCGGAGAAAGAAGAAGGCGAAGGAGACGACGCCGAGTGCAGAGAAAAAGCATGAGAGGATAGTTTGGGAGCAGGACAGTGATGGTAAAATAGGGAGGAAGGTTGCAAATGTGGATTAAACGCACACACAGGGGCGGTCTCCCAAAGAAAAGGGAAGGAAACTAGAAAGGAAGGAAGGAAGAAATGAAAAGAGGGTGCTTCCTTCCTCAGGCTGCACAGACCAGTGGAGCCAAAATGAAGTTAATACATTTAACTTTTCACATTTCCGTTTATGTCAACAGTTTTTTAAAATGTATTATTATATTTTTAAATAATAATAAACGACAATGAAAGCATTTACTGTAACCTCGTTTCACTGCTTTATTTAGTCTGCCAGTTTGTTTGTTTTTTGTTCTTTTCCAAATATATATATATGTTATTTATATTGTTTATTTGTTTATTATTTATTTATTGCATCCTGCTGCCTTGACAGGTGTGATGTCCAATGAGAATAACTTCAATTCCTCACTGGCAGCACACGCTGAGATGCTATTTATTTAACTATTTATTTATTATTATTATTTTTCGCTCTCAAAAGACAGAATGGGCACAAATACCTGCAGATGCAGATTTTGACGTCTGCCCCGAAATTCCTAATTTAAAAAACAGAACATTTAAAAACAGAACCCTTTGCATGATAGCTGTCAACTGGGGGGACAATTATTTTTAGAAAATATGATTTCATAAAATATGGCTTTTGGGGTTTTTTTTTCTATTTAGAAAATGTGATACAGCACAATTAAACAGAGTCACCAAAATTATATTTTCTGTTGCCTTTGTATTCAGGCTGCTTTTCTAAACTGTGGTTGAGACAAATGTATTTTTTTTTATAATAAATTATTAATAAATAAATAGTATACAAAAAATTCCAATGTAAATAGTTAGACTTTGATGTGGGAATAATTATGGGTCATTTTGGGATGAACATGAAACAAAAAAAAACCTATGAAATGTACTGCAGGTGTGGAATTGTCTACACTGGTTGAATAAGGAGATCATACACGTATTTCTGTGTGTGTGTGTGTGTGTGTGTGTGTGCATGTGTGTGAGTGAGCACACGTGCCAGTGATGAGCTCAGCACAGCCTTTTCTGTAACCTTATCTCATCAGCTCGGTAAAATGCAGCTTCTATTGTATTTGATGGGGCAATCGCAAAATCAACAATGAGTTTCCAATGTAACTGCAGGGGAACAGAGCACAGACATGCGTTCAGGTGACACTTTACACTCTGTTGCAGCATGGTTGGTTCCTTTCATGCAAAATAAATCAGTGCGAGATCAAAACAGGACTCGGAGCTGCTGATTAAAAATATTGTTTCATGTCATCACACTGTAAGACGCCTGAAAACAAACATTATGACACTAATTCCTCTGTATCGGCTCCCAGTAGCGTTGTCAAACAGCATTGAGGAGGAAACGTGTGCACGGTGTAGCACCAAGGTGGTGTAGCTCTGCCTGCTAATGCACACGTAGTTACACCAGGCAACACCATGAATGCAGACATGCCATTTCCCCCCCAACGAGCACTGATGTGCCTTATGTTCTTGAGGTAGTAGATGGGCTTGTGTTAGCTGACTGGGCTGTGGACAACATTGTTACGGAGCAGGGAGGAAGGCAGAAGGATTGTCTCCTCTTGTTCTTTCTCACCGTGTCTGTGTTTAGGCAGTCAGTGGAAGAAGAGACGCCCTGCCGCTCAGGGCCCTCCAAACCTGAGCCTACACACGCCAGACCAAAGCAAAGAAGCTCCGAGCTCTGGCCTCTCCCTGAAACGCCTCAGCAGGTACCTGAGAGTTTACTGGGGGCAGGCGACGTGTTATCATGCCTGCCGTGGGGACACCTGCCTCTGATGATGCCCTGGTGATACTAATCTACAGGACCCTGTATTAGGACATTGATGCAGCGTTCGGCACAGACTGCTCTGAATGACAGAGCAGGATCCAGCATGTGACGCCTCATGTAAAATTTATTTTCTGTTTTTTTTTTTTTTTTTTTTTTCATCTTCACCTTTTTTTCTTGGTCGCTACGGTTGGAAGGAAAGTGTGTTTGTCTCTATCGTGCATA